TAGTAAATCAGTGATGTGTGAAAGTTGACTTTGGTATCTCTTAAAACAGACTCTGAGACAGATTCATTTGGGAAGTGATATCAGGAAGCACCACTAGAAGGAGGGTTGTCAGTGTGACACAGGGTAAGGGAAGGGACCAAAATCAGGGTACACTAATGGAGCAGGCTATTCCTGAGGCCAACTAGGGCTTAGTTTCACTGAGAACGTCTGGGAAATTGTGTGGAACATGCTAGCGTCTCCACTGAGGGCAGTGATTGATGGTTGTCCCGGGCAGCATCAACTTCAGTGCACTATTAGTTTGCCCTACATAGCTGGGGAAAATCCTCGGAGATAATTATAGGCTTTCACTGCAGAACAAAACAGTATGCACAAGACGCATGATTGTCAAGGGGGTGAATACAATGAACTGGCAGATGCTATGCTCACCTTCTGCAGGAACATAGTATTTTAAATGTTTTTTAAGTTGTTTAGACTTAAACTTCAAACTTTGGACTGAATAACATCATTAGTTGTAATAAGAGTGCTATTTTACATGCAATGAGAATTTCTCCAGGAACTTTCTTAAATTTCCTGCTGTAGCTTTAAAGACCAACTTCCATTTGTGTCAACACTCTCTCAACTCCTGATATCATCAAGGATATACCTATTCCTCCTTTCTTCCACCTGCCTATTACCAAGTTCGTAATGACTGAGCTGTTGGCTTAATCAGAAAGCTTCCTCTGTTAGTGGTATTCAGCCTTTCTTTCTTTAATTCATCCACTTCCATCTGCACTATTTTATGTTCAAATATCTTCCATCTTAAACAAGCAAAGAACTACCTCTACCCCCACCCCCACCCCCATTTTTTCATGTTACTGGAGTCCTCTTCCTCCTTCCAATCTAACTTCCTATTCTCCACTTCTCACAATCCACACACTCTCTTCAGTTGTGAAGTGTTATATAGGGCTGTAGCTTTTATTCTCAGTGAGATAATGGGCCATTATGGTTTTTATAATCTTTTTTTTAAAGATTTATTTATTTATACATACAGAACTGGGGTACAGACCAGAGATGTGGAGGGTGAGAGGATTCATCAGAGACAGAGTGGGGTACAGGACAGGCAGATTGATGAAGTACACTGCTGAGAGGAGCAGCGGGAGGGTCAGGAGAGGTCTGCCTTGCCATATGGATCTCCTCCAGGGCAGGCGGGGGATTGAACTCATGTGGAAGTGGCTTAAGCTTCTTTGTGCTGTGCTTTAACCTGCTGCGCCACCAGGGAGGGCCCTTTTTTTTTTTGAAGAAAAGAGATACAACAGTTTGATTTGTGAATTAAGAGATTGTGGAAAACACTTGTGGTTTGGCAATGTAAGAACCTTTGAAAATTCACTCATCCAAAAAAAAAAAATTTGTAGAGTTTGTTATTGGTTTATTTTTTGTTGGTTTTGTTTTTGACCCTACTTTTGTTTCTCTATTTTCTGCACTTAAGTGATAATTTTTAAATGTCCTTACAATTATTTCTAAAAACACACTTACAGAATATCCTCTAGTAGTCAAAGGACCTATTTCAGACTCTTAAAAAAAATCACATAATGTATCCTCCACCCCAGTTCCCTTGATTTCTTTACTTTCCTAATCTCAATGTCATTTTTTTTTCTTTTACCTTAACTATTTTAACATCTCCAAACATAATACACTGGAAACAGTACTTTATTTAAATGATTTTTCTTGTTTTGCTTGGCTTTTTGTTTCTTCACAGAAAATCTATTCTGTAGGCTTTTAGCCTCTTTCTATCAGTGGACAGTTTGCTCTACCTTCACAGATTTCAGACCCTTTTATTTTGAGCAGTGAACATTATTCATTGCCAATTTTAACATTGAAAGGCTACTTATGTAAAAGGTATATTTCTATATAAACTATAATTACAAATTATTTGTTTACTCGAATATAAAGCATATACTGTGGGACCTGCAGTATGCATGCTGTGGTGATAAAATACTGAACAGAAATGACATGGCCTCTGCCATTTGGTGAGTTTGTATCTTCACTGGGGAAACAGATCAAACACTAAACAAAAGACAAGTAGAAAATATTTGGACATGAAAGTAATGGTAAATTGTCAAAGATCCTGAACAAAAAGAATCACAGAATCAGAGAAAAATGAGAAAAGAGGATTTAGAAGAGGGAGGATGTACACTTGCTGTGAGGAGAGAACATTTAAATTGAGACTTAAAGGCAGAGAGACAATTAACTAAGAATGGAAGAGAAGCTGTAATTGATAGTCTAAAAGATTTGAGTCAACACAGTGCTTAGCACAACCCGAAGAAGGGCATGAGAACTTCAAAAGCTAACTCCTGGTGCCTGACTAAGAAGATTTAGGTTACTGCCATCAAATATTAGTTCATATATTTATTCTGTGATATGCATCTGCCACATGGGTCAGGCTATTTTGACTTTATTAATATCAGTTTAACCCTGTTCTAAATCCATATGGGAAAACAAAATATAACCAAAGGATTCAGTGAACTCACTGGCAAATCATTGTCACGAGACCTGTAAATAATGTGTATTCATAAACTCTTCCCTCCCTTTCTTTTCTCTTATTGAAAAAGTCAAATTATAATTAAAGATTGAACTTTGAATATAGAGCTCTAGAAGGTTGTATTAGATATATCACATATTTTCAATCACAGCTAAAACATTTCACTTATGCATTTTGTGCATCCATCCATACAGAAACCTTCGATGTCTTATTACCAAGAATCCTTAGGCCAACTGAGGATTCATCGTCAGTATTTGCCTTCTCATTTTCATTTTTTTCTGACTTCCTATAGCAAGAGACTATCCCTTACAGTGCATTAATTCATTAGATAAATCTAGGAAGATAATAAACCTTAAATCACTTCTTTTTAGGTAACTTTGCATATCTGTATTCTGTTTCATTAGCTATTACTCTTGCTGCTTAGAGCTTTCAGGGTAATTTTGTTTTTCTCTCTTGATATTGTCAACTGTCACTTCTGCATTCACTAGATACTGATAATATTCTCCCTTGTCTTTTTCTTGCCTTCTGGACTATAGACTTTCTCCATAGCTTTGCTGTGAATATATTCATACTTTGTGTGTGTGTGTGTGTGTATGTCATTGCTCTTCTCTGTTCTTACTACCCTAAACTAAGGAGAATCATTCATCTCTATTTGGTTCAAATCTACCTTAACAAATTAATCTATCTTCTCTGAAACGTTTTAAATCAACATCTGTCATTCAATTGCCTATGGAATAAACATGATAGTATAATTGATTTGCTATGAGTAAGAAAACAGACAAGCAAACAACTGTGTCCTATTTTCATGGTTAATTTTTAATAGCACATATAACTTATTTCCAACACCAGCTACATAATTTGTGTGTCTCAGTCTAAGATAAAAATGAAAATTTGTATTCAAAATTAATTAAAAATTTCAAGAGAGTTAAATTGAACATGACGTCAAACATGGGGATGGTGGGTGGGTAGGCCATTCTGAGTACAGGGTGCTGTATAACTGCACACATGACTTGCCCAAACAGGCCCTGTGCAGGTCTTTGGGGCAGGTGGCAGTCAAGAATAACTTCATAACTACATTCATGTTTCAAATGAGTTTTATAACAAAATTTAATGAATATGATGTTTGGGTTAACAGCATCTGTGATAATCAAGTTGACTACATTTATTTGGAACTCTGTAACTACATATTTGGCACATAATATTGTTGAAATGTGTGATTAAAGAGAAAATATTCTTATTTTTAAGTTTATTGTTGATTGTGACTTGTGTAGTTTACTTTTAAGGGTGCAGGAGCCAAATTACGTGGGTTTTAAATCCTGACTCTGTCTACACTAGTGCTGGCCATTGAGTCATTTCCTTACCTTTGTATGAGGTGATATATGAAAAGACAGCAGGGAATTTATCTCATAGAGTTATCATGCAGGATATTGTATTATAAATCTTTAGGAGATAAAGCAAAGTCTTCTGTTATTTCCAGATTCTTTTTTTTTGTTTTTCATTTTTGCCTCACTATACATAATATTCCAGACTTAGTTTACTCTTCCACTGTTAGGATTACCACCCAGTATAATAATAAAAATGTTTCATTATATTGTTTGTATAGAACTAAATATTTGACAGTACACATTTAATATTTAGTTTACAATGAAAGAAATGTCATTAATTATTTTCCTTATAAGAACATTGAAAGGATTTTGCTTTTAATTTTTTTCTTTGAGCTTCTCTAGATGACCACTTATCTTATTTTAAATAAAAGTTCTAAATAACCTAGTTGATGGCACAATCCATTTAATTATATTGAGGTAATAAGTTATGTAACTTTAGAATCTAATTTAATTTTATCTCAGCATTTTAGGAATTACTAAGTACATTTAAAGGCAAGCTTGCTTGGTAGTACTCCATTATGATTAATGGATGTTATTTGCTTATATTTTTGTGTCACTGAAAAATAAATCATTTTATATTAATATGAACTATGTTTATGATTATTAAACATCTATGTCATGCTTTATCAAGATGATACACTATTTGCAATCTACAAACTGAATCTCCACCATCTTGAAAAACCATCTGAAATATAAAATCTAATTTAGATTTTAAGTGGTAGCCATACTTTGTTTCTAATCCAAATAATAAATTTATTATAAGCTAGTTCATTTAAGATAGATTTTAAAACACTTTTACTCTGACATGCTTAACATAAACATTCCTAACAGTCATTAACATTTAAACAGAATGGTCTATACAGGTGTGGTTTCCTAGTAATAATGTTATAGAATGTTTAGTCATTTTGTATTTAGAATTGAGAACCTAGAAAATAATTGAAATAATACAACCAATGTTTTTATTGGTTGTAGAAGCTGGAAACCCACCCCCATAAAAAAATCCTAAATATCATATTCTACCTTTACTGTGTACTTTATTCCTTCTTTTTTATGACCCTTATTATAATGTCTGCATTTAATTTCTTTTCTTGTATCAGACAGTATTACTGAAGTCTTCACCAATATCTACGTGACCAGTTTTGGCCCCGTCTCAGATACAGATATGGTGAGTTTTTCATTAAATAGTATTTTTACTTTATATAACAGAGAGAGAAATAAACAAGTATTTTTAGCATTAGAGAGTTATGTAATTGTCTTATGCTTCTTTAGTCTAACCAAATATGTGGAGAGTTGAGGATATTAATGTGTATCTATGGTGTACTTTTCCAGTATGGGTGGTAAGACTAGCCCTTTCATTCTTTTCATTCTTTTCTAATTTTTTTTTAATCTACAGTGTGGCAAACAATTGTTTAAGAAAAAATAATATTACTAAAAACCACTTTCTAGAACTAAGGCATAGCTTGAACTTCTATAAGGAAAGTCAGTACAGTTTCAAAACTGCTTCTTTGTGAATGAAAATTTCCTGTCTACATATAAACAATGCTTACATTTTGGATAGTTTATGTATAAATCATTTGAAGAAAATGGGAATAATGAGTTATATTTACAGGGTCCTCTTGTATCAAAATAAAGGGGACAGGAAGGCAGGTTTGAAGTTAAACTGCAATACTCCAAAAATTGTTATATGTCGTAACAGGTGACAAGTGACTAAAACAATAAGAAAGGTGAATTTGGGGAAAATTAAAGTTAAATATCCAATATTCAAACATAACACAAACATATACAAACCTACAAAACTATTACAAAATATATATTTAAATATACACACATATACATACATACATACATACACATTTTATGAAGAGATATGATTTGGTCTTCCTGATAATCAAGTGAAGTGATTTGCAGTCTTGATATTGCCTTTGCAGGAAATCAAGATCAATAAAGAGGAAAGTTTGAGTTTACATTAGTACTGTATAGATGGCCAGATTGAGAAAGTACCCTTAATTGTAATACTCTCAATTGGAGGAAATTTATTATAATGGGGAGGAAAAATGCATACATGTTACTATCACTCACATGTAAATATGGATATAAAGATGGCTAATTCATGTCTCAAAGTAGTATTTTGTTAACCAGAAAGTGGGTAAAAAATAAATGTAATTACATTTTTAGCAATTTAGCTGATGCACTATGCAGTACGCACATTCAGTAACAAGACCTAAATCCTGAAGTTCTCCTGATCAAGTCAGTGATGTAGGTTTATTTTGACATTAGCCTGAGAGGAAAAGGCAGCATAGCAAAAAGAATTAAGAACCAAAAGTACAAACACACACACACAGAACATGTGCATATACACACAAGCTGCTCTCTCAGAATCATTAGTCAGTGTAATTGTTCAAGGAAAGTTGCACATCTAAATTATAGTAAGATTCTAATTACAGTATCTTCAAGTAAGGTTCAAAATCCTTTATTTCAGCATTCAAAAAATTCCTGAGTAAGAATGTAATTAAACTCTTCAATGTATCATAGCTGACAATTGACAAAGTTTGTAAGAAGGCATGTGCATTTTAGTAAATTTCAGCTCAGTTCTTTTTTCTTTTCACCTTGGTTTCTATGTAGGATGTCTTTTCCCACATTAGTAAACATTTTCACTGTGTGTGCATATTCTTCAGGCAGAAGTGATATATAGCTGTAATTGCTGCACCTAAATCTAGACTAAGAACTTCTGTTTAAATGGCTATATTTTGCAGCGCTAAATGTTAGAATTAGGATTTGAACACTAAAATGTTTTCATTTTTTTCTCAAGATTTTTGAACCAGAGGTTACTATTAGGCTATTAAGAAGCATAAAGTTAGATGAGTAGTGATAAATATGATCAGAAATTGATCACATTTACCCTCTTGGTTAGTACTTTCCTATGTCTTTGAACATAAGAACTCCGTTATCTCTTAGATTTTCCTTAATTTATTGAAATATTAAATATTTCAGTGAGGGATGTTTAGAGAGTCTTTAATTTTATTTGTTTGGTTAAAAATTAATACTAGACTTAGCTGTTACCCTTATGAGATGTTGTCATTTGTAACTGTAGCTCAATAAGGAAATCTATAAACATGGTAACTACTAATATCAAAAGTAACAATCATAGGTATCTTTCAATATGAAGAGGCATTTCCTTTTCTGAGTTAGAATGTGCTTTGATCCTTAACAGCAAAAGTCAGAGGCCACTACCTTTGATCAAATTCAATGAGGTGTAATAGTGAGAGACATATACTACTTACTGCCTTGGCCAAGGTTAAATTCCATACTTGCAGGTGGTGTAATTCAGGATTAGCCTATAGGTTTTATCCACAGTAAAACCTTATCTGGAATGTAGAGTAATAGTTCCAGGAAAGAGAAAAGATAGTTTAACTCTATACCTTATTGTGGAAAGGAGGATTGTGAAAAGTTAGTATTCTCTTCATAGCTCTCTTGCTTCTCAGAGAGATGGACAGCTCCTACTATTATTATTAGTTGCTATCAGCAAAATAACAAACTATAATTTCTGAACATATAGTGATCTTTAAAATTAAAATTGTAGAGCTTTCATGGGGAAACCACAGTGTAATATTAGAAACTATCTTTTTGAGAAAGCCACGAAGCATTTGTATGCCTTGATTAAGAATAGTAGGAATTATCCACTGGTGTTACACTTGTACATTTGCACATAGGTTGATAGTTTATACATGTCTCAGCTCCCATGATGAGAATCATCCCAGATGTTTCTCACAATACCAGAAAAATGCAATTTTAATGCCAATGCAGGAAAACATTGCAGATGTGGGGAGATAACAACACTGTCATATATGATGGCAAAGCCAAGAGAAGGATTTAAATGTGTCATTAGATAAAGAATAAGGAGATATTTGCTGATCATGGTAAAAGCAGACAGACTGTGGTGGGTTGAGGCATGTGGGAGGTGAGAAAATGGAGAAAGAGTAGAGGCAACATTTTTAAGCAGCATGGTTGAAGAGAGGAGATGAAACAGAGGGTAGAAACTCTAAGGCTTTATAACTATCCGTGAGACTTTTATTTTTAAAGATTGCTTTGAACTTCTCACTGTTCTCAAACATGCCATTATCTTTAACAACTCGCTGGCCTTGCAAATGTTTTTCTCAGTTCTTGTTATGCATCCTTCCTTCTCTGCCAACTGGAGATATTTTACTTATTCAAGACCAAGCTCAAATTTCATCTCTTCTGATGTCTTTCTGGGCTACTCTAAGTAGAGTCAGCGCCTCTTGTCCTTGTGTTCCACCATATGGTGTTCACACATTTTTATGACTTTGCACACTGGATTTTAAAAATCTTTACATGTCTTTCTTCTGCAGTCTGAGCTACTAGAAGGCATGAGTTGTGTTTGTTCATTTCAACAAGATTTACTAAGTATCTACACGGTGTCTGTCATAGTGTTGGGAGCTGAAATACTGAAGTATAGCCAGCGCTTGTCTTCAAATAATTTATAATGTACTAGGAGGGGAGTTAAAAAAAATCGCCAGTTTTTAAAAGTGTGATTATTCTTTTATCAAGTATTGATATGTGATTATCCTTTTATCATATTGATAGCAGAAGGCCTGTGGGTAGAGGGTACTTTTATATGAGAAGGTTTCTAGGAAAAGAAGATAACCAAGGAGGACACATAAGAATTGACCAGCTAGTCAAGAAACAGTGTTTTAACATAAATGGGTTTAGTTTAATAAGATATAAATAATATTTAGTAGCAATGAATCTTTGAAAATTTAGTGGCAATGGGGGGAGATGAGATTAAAGAGGAGGGGTGGGAGTGAGACAGTTCACCAGAGACAGAGTGGGGAGAAGAACAGGCAGATTGGATTGACTGAAAAACACTGCTGAGGGGAGCAGAGGGTGAGACAAGAGAGGTGTCTGCTAGGCCATGTGGATCAGCTCCCTGGCCCAGGGCTAGACCTTGTGGTGCAGTGTCTGCCAATAGCTTCATAATGCTGACTCAATCCCTTGCACCACTAGGAAGGCCCCCTTATCAATTTTTACCTTTTGCAACTTTCCCATTCCCTCCTTCCAAAGAGAAAGACCAGAAATCTTACCTGCACAGTGGGTCAGAACATGCTGTCCCAATGTGAGCTTCTTTGAATAACAGAATTTTATAATCTTGTACTAATTGGATTTAGTGGCACTCTGGTGATATGTTCTTAAGCTTTTCACATTTTTGGCAATGCTAATATTGGGCTAAATTTGCTTTTCATGCCCTTTTGAGTACCAGAGGAAAGTGTTAGCAGTTACATTCTTGTATAGTCCAAGGGTGCTGTTTCTTTAATTGCTACCTACCTGCTTCATAAACCGCAATTTTCTTTGTGATAGAGGAAACACACTGATTAGAATTTACTCAGAGGAGACTGTTTCATTAGCAAAAAAGATATAGTGAAATCAATTTTTGGCAGTTTAAAATGCACTTAGTAAATCAAAGTAAGTGAGAAATTATTCCTAGGGCAGTTCTGCAATTTGGTATTGTTTTAGCGAGTAGATATCATTCTTCAGAAACTGACTACAAGCATTGACTTTTAATTAATGAGTCAGGCACTAAAAAAGTGCTGATTTCACTAAGTTAATGTGTTCTTGAATTCATATTTATACAATAAATTGTGTGATAGCGAGTGTTTACCTTGTTTGAAATATAAATTGTGGAAATAATACTTTGTGGTAGTAAAAACATGGAACTGGGAACCGCATCCTGTTTGCCCCAAACAAGCTTGGCAGTAGGACGTTGAATGAATTTATTTATAATCTCATCCATAACAAGGATGTGTTGGATCCAATTCCCTGTAAGCAATTCATTGAATCTTTTAGTGTGTAGTTTTCCTTTCTTCAGTCTCCCCCAATAGTTAGCCCCTGTTTTCTGTATGTAGGCCATAGAGTAGTTGCAAACTGGCATGTTCTTTTTTTTAAGATTTATTTATTTGTGCATACAGAACTGGGGTACAGGCTGAGATGCAGGTGAGAAGATTCATGAGAGACAGAGTGGGGTGCAGAACAGGCAGATAGATGAAGTACACTGCTGAGGGGAGCAGTGGGCGGGTCAGGAGAGGTCTGCCACACCATGTGGTCATCTCCGGGGCAGGTGGGAATCAAACTCATGCAGAAGTGACTTTAGCTTCTTAGTGCAGCGCTTTAACCCACTGAGCCACCAGGGAGGACCCCACAAACTGGCATGTTCTTAGGAACGTTTTATGTTTCTCTATAAATTTGCCTTTAGTTGTTTGTGAATTCTCTGAGGAACTTGGTATATTATCTTGTTATTTTTTTTTTCAATCTTGATTCATGGGTGTAAATATTAAATTTGTATAAAGAAGTTGCCCTTTTTGTTCTTCTCTAGTAATTTTAACATACAAATCAGGTAGTTATTTTATTAAATATATGCTTTGCAAACTTGAAAGAACTTTGGGTCTTTCAAGAATATTCTTTTCAAATATTGAAACTGTGCACTATTTATGTGTTTAAGGGAATCACACGAAAATAATTTGTTTGGAAATCCTTTTGTACTTGCTGTCTATGCAATTAATTTTAACATTGGAAATAATTCCTTTGCCTGCTGTTTTGATTTAAAATAACAAATCAGGCCCCTCCTTGGTGACACACAGTGGGTTAAAGCACAGCACTAAAAAGCTAAAACCAGTTCAGCATGAGTTCCATCCCCACCTGCCCCAGAGGGGATCCACATGGTGTGGCAGACCTCTCCTGACTGCCTGCTGCTCCCCTCAGCAGTGTAATCGTCACTTGGCCTGTTCTGCTCCCCACTCTATCTCTGGTGAATCCTGTCACCACCCCTGCACCTCTGGCCTGTACCCCATTTCTGTATGCATAAATCAATGAATCTTTAAAAAAAATTAAAAAAAAAAACAAGTGAATCAGGGCCATATTTACATATAGATCGACATATTTTTATACAAAATATATTGATATTATAAATAAGCACAAAAATTGAATAAAAAATTTGAAATGCATGTTACTTTCAGGATTAATTATGATGTCAATCAACCTGTTCTGCTGCCCTCTCTGTCTCTGGTGAATCCTCTCACCTCCTGCACTTCTGCCCTGTAGCTCAGTTCTTGTATTCATAAGTAAGCCTTTTTTAAAAATCACCATTCCCTAATACATTCTTGCTAATGATATGATAACTCACCATTTTGGGGAGGATTATAAATGAACGATGCTGTTCAGTTTCTTGGCAACAGGGGATGATGACTCATACAGATGTGACTGTGATAGTTGTTTCCCTTCCCTACTCATCCCTTCCCTCCCCTTATCCAGTCTTTCTTTTTTTTTTTTTTCATGAGATAAACTAGTTACAACAATCCACCCAGTTCTTGCTGAAGCATACCCCATTCTAAGTAATTCTAAACGATAAGATTCAGTTAAGCAACTTCACTGAAATTTTGCTTTACTAAAATGGGTCAAATTTATTCTTTTTTCTTTTCATAAGAATGTGTAGCTAATAGTTCTTTTCTTATTGTAAGTAGAAATAAGTTTTGAAAAGGTTTTTTTGATTCATATTTCTTGGAGTTCTCTTTAAAACTGTTTTATATGAAATTTTATTGTGTCCTTATAACCTAAAATATTTATTATTTTCATCCTATTTTATGTTTTAGGAATATACAATAGATGTTTTCTTTCGACAAAAATGGAAAGATGAACGGCTGAAGTTTAAAGGACCTATGAACATTCTTCGACTCAATAATTTAATGGCTAGCAAAATCTGGACTCCAGATACCTTCTTTCACAACGGGAAAAAATCGGTAGCTCATAATATGACAATGCCAAACAAACTTCTTCGAATTCAGGATGATGGAACTTTGCTGTACACAATGAGGTATGTTTTTAGTTTTTTTATGTTGTGTTTAAATACTGAGACATTAAAAAAAAAAAAGTAGCCGCCTAGTTATCAAGTGTACATGTAGTTAATAGTTTTATAACAGGTTATTGAAGTACCCAAATACATTTTACATATATTTGGCTACTTTAAAAAATTAAGATTAATAAAAATAAAATAAAGTTTTATTTAAATATTTCTTTAAATGTTGATAGGCTATTTGATGAGATATTAAACATGAAATTAAATGTTGGCATAAAGAAAATTAATAGTATTTAAGCATTTGTTACTCCTCTTAATGTGTTAAAACTTAGAGTTGCCTTACCTATAGGAAGTGATTTCATACAATGTTACATTTCATACTAACATTTCATACAAAATGATAATACATCAAAAGCCTAGAATATGTGTTTATAGAAAACGTTAATGAAAGTAACCCATGCAATAAATTCTTCATTAAACATCTAAATTTCATACTACATTTTAATCAAGTATAATTTGAATAGTGTCTCAAAATTTTAATTTCGTCTTTAATATCTATCAGATAGCCTATCAACATTTAAAGAAATATTTAAACAAAATTTTGTTTTAACATTTTATCATATGAAGTTATTCTGAAGAAAAATATATTTAATTCCGGGAGGTAACTTTTATTTAATAAGGCTTATAAGTAAACTGGATACCATAAGCATACATATTATATTAGACTAGATGAAATTGCCATTTTATAAATCAAAACTTGTCATGAGCATAAGTTTTATGATTCAGCCTTAAAAGTTATTTGAAAAAATATGACTCTTAATAACATTGTTTAACCTGTTCCCATGAATTAATATCTTCAGAGAAGTTTTTAGTCATATTATGTAATAAGAAAAACACTAATCTAATAAAATGATGTATTATGTAAAATTTAGATGTTTAATGAAGAATTTAATGCATGGGTTAATTTCATTAACATTTTCTATAAGCAAATATATCTTATAGGTTTTTGATGTATTATCATTTTGTATGAAATGTTAGTTGATGGATTTCAGTTCTGAGTTCTAATCTTTAAAGAAAAAAAATCTCTTGAGGACTCATCATTAAATGACCATTGTCTTAAAAAAGAACTTTAGTCATTTTCCTGCTTATTCCTCTGAATCTTGTAATACAGATACAGAATCCCTGTTGATTTTACACTTTGTTCATCCCTATAGAGTGAGACAATGATTAGAAATGTTAAATGTAAGCAAAATATAAGGAAGAAACATGAGGTTTCAGAAAATACTGCTTAGGCTTCTACTTAAACTCTTGTGTTTATACTAATTAAATTGTTAATCACATTTGGTTTGAAGAATTTTAATTAATTAAATTGTTAATCACATTGGTTTTTGCTCATCATTAGAATACTTCTGTAAGTTCAATTTACTTCCTGTTTATCCAGTTGACCTTTGTGTGACATGAAAGAATTGACATTATAAGAAATTTGCTGACTGCTTGTTATTCTGATCATATAAAGAAAAAATATTTTCTTAATATTACACATCATGTACATAATTTAGCAAATAGTCTAGCCTCAACAAGATAGTTCTAAAAGATACTTGTTTATATCTGTATCAATATTTGTATCTATATTGATTTCTATATTTATAATCATACTTGAATATAATACTCATTCACAATTTACATATTTTTGAAGGGAACTCCTGTGATTCACTGAAGGGAGATCCTATAATCCATTGCTGAATTACAAAATGATTTTTCTGTATGATTGTTGATGAATTGATGGGGAAGATGGCATTCTTTAAATGATAGAATTACTTTATTTTCTCTCTGATTTCAAATATAACAGCAAGGTTAATAGGAAAATAGCCCTTTAAAAGTCTTTACTTCTTTACCTCCTATGTAAAATTTACTTCTAGGTATTAGACTTTTTTTAGCAATTGTAGATGAAAAAAAAAAAAGCTTTACTTAAAACTTAGTTTTACTTCCTAACAGCAGAGTAAAAATGGCTAATTATATGTGTAAATAATATTACTTGAGTTCAGATTTTGTGTAGGTTGATGACTTCTGAGGGATCATCAAAATGTTAAAGAACAAAAGCATGCCTAATTGTGAATTAGCCAGAGCTGCTGTAATGTAGGTCCTATCTTACCATTAACTTTATTGACAACTGTAAGAGCTATTTATCTTGACCTGACAATTTACTTAAAGAGTGGAATTTTGACTTTTAGGCTTACAGTTCAAGCTGAATGTCCGATGCACTTGGAGGATTTCCCAATGGATGCTCATTCATGTCCTCTGAAATTTGGCAGCTGTAAGTATGGGGATGATATATTTTGAGTCAGTCATATCAGGAAAAGCCAGAGGCACTCCTTGATTTTATAATCCCTTCTTATATTATAGAATGTCCAATGCGATAATGGGAGTAAAAGACATATTAAGACATACTGACTTTTCTCAAGGAAATTATCGGCTAGCCCCATTATTCTCATAAGCATTATATTTTAATCAAAGGAGTTAAAATTGTCACTGAATTTTCATACATAAATAACATCATATATTTTTGAATGTATGTAAAATTAAGTCAGGATCTCCTTAAAGGTCAGGGCTATGTCACTTAACTTTTTATCCAAGTGCTAGTACATTAAAAATGAAAATAAATATTTTATGTCTTTCAATTAGGAATGAACTGTAAGGGATAAATTGTTTGTTAAAGTAGCATCCATCCTATTACTAGTAGCCAAGGAAGCTGGATCTGTGTGATTATCTTTCTAATTTCTAACTGATGCAAAGGACTTTTAAATTTTCCTAAAATTAATTTGAAGATTATGTAGGTGGGTTACTACTCACAGACACCATTTTTGAGCATAAACTATGTCAGAGAAGACTGGGTGCATTTATTCATTCTTTAGGTTACTGAGGTTATGTCTTGTGTGTCAAGCAGAAGCTTTCACTTGCCCAAAATATTTCAAAAAGAGAGAAGGTCAGTTCATTGCCCTTGGCCCATGAGTGTTCAGGGAGGTTCAGGATATGTTCTCAGACACACTCAGAAATGTGTCTTTTCTTGAGTGTGTGCAATCGCCTGACCTTTCCAGAAACCTTGCTCTTTTTGGCAACCCTGCCTTTTTCCATTCTAAGCAGCTTTCAGTTTTTCACTCTCTGTAATAGAAATGCAGTTCTATCACCTGATTAAAAATATTTGACTGAATAGTGTGCCTTCATCCAGACTGTATCAAGTGAAAGAAAAAGGAAGAATGATGACTAATATGAATGCAAAACCCCCTAATTATTTTGATGACCATAGTTTGATGGAATGAGGAGTTCAATCTTGTTTGTTCTGTTCATTCTTATAAAAGGTGTCAGCACTCCATTTTTGCTGAGAGTCTCTTCTGTGTTTATCAACAAAGCTTTCTTTTATTGTCATGGAAACCATTACTTCAATCCTGGCATTTCTTCCAGAATTATTTAAGATAGTCAATCATGTTATACAACATAAACATGATGCTGAAAAAACTACAGCAGATGCAGCAGAGAAAAACTCATTTGCATTGCATAAGTGGCATTAAAGAGAAAATTGAAAAACCTTGATACCAAAGAAAGGAGTCACTCAAGATGCAGTAATAGTGTAAGAAGGAAAGGCATTTTTCAGTGGACCCGTTAGTGTCATTAAGATGCTAAATATAATGTGGTGTTTTAATTCTGCATAAGAAATAAATACACCTAAAATTTTTAAATGAAATTTTAAAACTCCTTATAGTTTATTTACAGAGTGGAAAAATATCGTGTGCTAGTGAATATGATTTTCTGTTTCTAGAAGTGACATAGACAACACACAGTTCATTCTGGACATTTTCGGTTTGAGCAATCATATTTTAATGTAGATTTCTTTATGTTTATTTTCTGACACATTGAAGGCACATTTTGTTTATTCCTGTATTTTCCTTTGCCAATGTCAGTTGCTAGATGCAACTGTGAATAGAGTAACAAAGAGAACTAGACTAATGATTCATCCAAACCTTCGAATGCTACATAACGAATCTGGTAGTAGCCATGACTTTTTCCTTTAGTCATTTTTTTTTTAAAGATTTATTTATTTGTGCATACAGAACTGGGGTACAGGCCAGAAGCTCAGGGGCGGTGAGAGGCTTCACCAGAGACAGAGTGGGGAGCAGAACAGGCAGATCCACGAAGTACACTGCTGAGGGGAGCAGCGGGCGGGTCAGGGGAGGTCTGCCACACCATGTGGTCACCTCCCGGGCAAGCGGGAATCGAACTCATGCAGAAGAGGCTTTAGCTACTTTGTGCTGTGCTTTAACCCGCTGTGCCACCAGGGAGGGCCTCCTTTAGTCATTTACTTCTCTCTTGCCTATAGGCATTCATATCCCTGCCCCCCCCCCAATTTATGGAATTTTATCATTGTCCCCAATGGAATCATCTTTTCTATAAGTTTTAAAATCTAGTTTTGTTTTAGTTCTGTTGTTTGTAATCTTTATATGTTCTCTTGTTCCTTGATTGAAGTTTCTTTGTGGGAGTCAGACTTATTCTCTGCATAGCCACCACAAAATTATAAATTGTTTTTTTAAGTAAAAATTGATAATTAAAAATAATTTGGGCATGGGGGAGTTGCCAGTTATTATGAATAGATAGTGTACATTGAAGTTTGATAGAGATTAGGAGTCAAAAATTAGTTATTTAACAGAATTAAATAAATTTATTTAATGAAACCTAATTTAGAGATGAAGTTTATAATCAAATTCATAGAGCAAACCCCAGTTCTCTCTTTTTATAAACATTACTGAGAAACACTTCAGTGTCCCTGATTATATCTGTGTTAATGTATAAGGGAGTATTTCTAACCTGCGTTACATAACTTCCTACTGTATTTTTTGTCCTCAGACACAAGTATTTAGATTATAGATAGATAGATGTATGGATATATATGTATGTATTTTTCTCTCTTCCTAATGAAATCAATAATTGTTTTTCATTAAAAAATGGGAAGGATAAGCAATTTTCTTTAACATATGTTTTGAGAAATTCTATCCAGATTTCCATTTTCCATAATAACATCATCAAAATATATGTTTGTTTATTATTCTGTCAAGAATGAACTGAAAGGCCCACCCTATTGGCACAGTCGCTTAAAGCATAGCACTACAAAGCTAAAGCCCACTTTAGCATGTTGATTCCGGGTCATGCAGACCTCTCCTGACCCACCCTCTGCTCCCTTTAGCAGTATACTTTGTTGATCTGCCTGTTTTGCGCCCCACTGTGTCTCTGGTGAACCCTTTGACTGCCCCTGCACCTCTGGCCTGTATCCCAGTTCTGTAGGCATAAATAAATAAATCTTAAAAAAAAAAAAAAAAGAATGAACTGAGAACATGTTGTATGTTTCAGGCACTGTACCAGGTGCAGAATCTCTGTTTATCAGTGTCTCACCAGTCTCTTAAAAATGTCATCACACCATTTTTCCTTATGCGTATTGAAATGCAACATGGGAGCTAAAGATGATTTGTGTTAATTGTTAAAAATTTATAATTTAATAAGATTTATAGTCATTTGAGTATCATGAGGCCTTCTGATGTAAAGTGGCTCATATGCTATGTCTGTTGGTTTACTTAATTTGGGCCATTTGAATTTTTATTGGAGAGAAGGTCAGGATATATACCATGGAGGAAACTAAATAAGCTATTTGATGATCTGAAAATAGACTGCTAGTTATCCACATCATTAATGTAAATTATTTAACCTCAGCAATATCATCAATGAAAAACTATCTGATACTAAGTAACGAAAGATTTATACCTAGTGTAACTGGACTTATTAATATGCAAACTTCATAAAACTGCCATTGCATTATTTATATATGTGTACATATATACATATAAATATATAATTTTGAACACAGCTTCAAAATTGTTTTCACATAATACAATTATTTGTGAATATAGGTAAGTAAACCCATGTATAGTAAAAATATTTCAATGATAACAATAGTGACATTTAGTAGTGACTTCAGAAAACCGGCATACTATTAAAAGACCATAAAATGATTGATATTTCCCTTTATTATTTTTGATGCTCAAGTGGGAACTGATTTGTGATCATTGAACTTGGGTCAAGGTGCATACCAGATCCAACCAATACCACAGTGTTAAACTAGAAAACTTATAGATGGCAGGAAAATGAGCTCTCTGATGTCCCCACTAGCTAGCGCCAAGGTGATTGCCAGAACTAGCTACCCTTTATCTTCCTCAGTTGAGAATGTGATCAGGATGCTAAGTTTTCCTCAAGGAACCAGGAGTAGCTAACATTTCTAAATTTTCCCTTGGTCAAATGGATTTAACTTCTTATCAGGATCAGTACTATAGTAATAATTGTCTGTTCATCCAACTGTGGAGATGCTCTGCTTGCAGGGAGAGGTCAGCAGTCTCCCATCAGGACATACAGGTACAAGGGAAAGGCCAGGGCCAGAAGACAGATAAGACAAGATGCACTGCCTGAACTCCAAGTGTGGAGTCATCTCACTCGTGTTGAGTTCTGCCTCACTGGCCAAATAAATCTGGAAGTTAGGACTTGAATACACGTGTTTTGCCTCTTCCTACTAATTCATAACTTAACTTGGTTGCTGTCCAGTGATATCTATGTGTATTAATTAATTTTGAAATGAGCATATTTTAAAAAGCATTTGCATCTCTCTGAAAATATGACATTCTTCTTTAACATGTTCTGCACTAATTAGTTTTTATTCTTCTAATGAAGTGTATTATATCATGAGAACTAAGCCATTTAATTCATAACTACATTACTTTTATGTCCAGAAAGCAATACCACTTTCGATTAGGTTGTTATTTCATGACTGATTGCTATTTTTAAATAAAATTTTTAAATGGACTGTGGACATTCATAACCTTTTGCCACAATGTCTTCATTAACCAGCTTAGGTCTATGGGGGATGTGTTCATCAACTCACGCCTTAGGTGTTTTCACAGACTCTAGAGAAAAATTTGCCCTTTTCCACTTAACATGACTGCAGTGAAAATCTTCTCATATTCATAAATGTCTCTATTTGTTTGCTTTACACCATTTCTATGAAAATGATAAATTTTAAGGATACTTTTTAACCTTAAAATGATGAACTGTATATGTCAATTTTATAGTAAGTAATGATTCTATGAAATACATATCTTTAATGGTTCTACAAAAGTGTTTAGAAATATTTTTTTCCCTGATTTTCTAGATGCATATACAACTTCAGAGGTCACTTATATTTGGACTTACAATGCATCTGATTCAGTGCAAGTTGCTCCTGATGGCTCCAGGTTAAATCAATATGATCTCCTGGGCCAATCAATTGGGAAGGAAACAATTAAATCCAGTACAGGTTAGTAAAATAAATCTAAAGAAAAGTTAATTTCTAAGTAAATGAATGGATTAAAATCATTGCAGATGTGCCTGCTTACCAAAACTGTTTGCTTTTGAGGTCTAAGAATGAGTAACATAGACTATGCTTGGGAGCTTTTTTTTTTTTTTTTTTTT